CCGCAGGCGGCCCGGGGGTGCTGCCGGCCCTCCGCGGGGTGCGGGGCGCTGCACCCGGCCCTCCGCATCCCCCCTCCTCCGCGCGGGGGCTGACCCTAGAGAAATAAGAGGCGCCCGAGCGGTGTCGGAAGAGCGGCGGAGAAAGAAGGGGCTTCATCTACTCTGTATAGGGGACCTGTATGGGGAGCATTCGGTATATGTATCTATATACAAATCATACATCTCTGAAAAGAAAAGCACACCCACAGCTGTATATCCAGATAAGCATGTATATCTGTGTAGGTGTTTATCTCGATCTGCAAAAAGCCTGGAAAATGTTGCTGCAATGTTTTAAAAAGAATCCTGGCCATTTTCCCCCAGAAAACAGTCCCTTTTGGTGGAGGGCGGAAGGAAAAAGGAGCAGCTCAGTTTGCTGTCAGCTATTTTCCATAACAACCTCCTCACTAGCTAGTAATGCCAGCAAGAGGAAAATCCAAGCTCTATCCCAAGGAGACCTTCACTATTAAAAGTGAAAAAGAGAATACTTGTGAATAAAACCTTGGCAGTGGCAGAGCCTGGAGGCAGCTCTCCTAACCCCACCGCATGGTCACTGTGCCAAGCACCCTCAGCTGTTAAGCAGCAAGGCTTGGGGGGGCCTAGTGCCATCGCCCCAGCCAAGTTTCAGCTTCTTTCCCCACTCCTGGTGTGCCTCATGTTCAATCTCTGGCCCTTGCTGACACGTGAGTCATTCTGGGAATGGAACAGGGATGTCAAAAGCCATTTTGAAGTGTGCCCATATCCCCTGACACATATCCTGTCTGGGCAGCTATCCTGCAGCAATGGAGCTGACCACATGAGGTGCAGATGGACAACCAAGATCTTACAGAGTCTGTCCCTGGGCTGATCCTGCTCAGACATAGCAGGGTTGATTCAGTGGCAGCTGTCAAAAGTGAGCTGCATTGTAATCACTGGGAAGGAAAAGTAACAATGAAAAATAACAGTAGCCTAGTTGTTCTCTGGATTTAGAGGTGTTCAGCAAAGGGGGAAAAATTGTCTCTCCTTTTTCATTTCACTGTGATCAATGAAGAGGTTTGAGAGTAGTCTGTGTTTTAGTTTCACGTTAGGCACTCAAGTCTTGCCTACTTTCTGAGACAGTATTACAACAGAGCGCCATGTCAAAAGATGTTCCTAGATGGTGAAAGCTGACATGAGTCAGAGAGGGACTTTTAACTGTCCCTTTTAAGACTCCCCGTTAAATGTTTGGTTAACAACACTGAGGGTTACTGAACACTTGGGATAAATGATGTTTTAATTAAAGATCCTGCCTACTTCCTGTGTGAGTGTTGGAAGAACTGTAAACTGTTCTAAAAACTACCCTAAGGAAATCCAACTCCTGCTGTTTCCAAAAGAGAAACAAAGAGGAAATAAAGTAAAACAAAAAAAAAAAAAGATAGAAAAAGAAGGTGGTGCTTGTTGATTTTAAAAAATAACCTGCAGCTCATGCCACACAGGGAAAATAATGTCAATGCCATGAACCAGGGGGAGAATTGGCAATGCCACAGGTGGGTGACAGCAGGCCTTTTGGCGATTCAAAGATTGCAGATAATCAGACCCAGCAGAGCCCTTTCCACCAGTTTCTTTCCTCAGATGTGGAGTGTGCTAAGAGGAAGCATACAGGGCAACTAGACTTTGTCGTCCTCTAAAATTAACACCATGTCTCGCTGCTCCCACACAACAGGAATAAGTTTTCTGAATATTCCCCTGCCAAGTTATCCTGAGAGTTGACCATCACATTATTTTCTTGCACAGAGATGGATGTTGACCATTGCTGGGGTTGTGCTCACTTGGCAGGTTTCAAGTCTTACATGTTAATGACAGCCCTGAGGAAGGCCCTTCACCACATGGCCAGTTTCTCCTGCTGGCATTTTCATCAGTTTTGAAACAGGTTAATGCTCCTGAATGTGACCATGAGGTTCAGGCATTGACATCCTGGCGAGGTGCACGGGGTAGTTTGCTTTCCCAATGTTTAGATTGCAGAAGCTCCAGCCTTGCCTGTCAAAAGGCTTTTTGGCCCTTTGCAGGCTGGAGGCTTGGCTGCGCAGCGCCCGCCAGGCTCTCTCCCATGGAGAGCTGCTGGCAGGGGTGATGGCCAGCACCATGCACACCCCTGGCCCCCACCACCAGACCCTGCCCATCTGAGTCTCTGCTGTAGACTGCTGTCTCAGCTCTGCTGCCCAAGGCTTGAGACAAAAGGGAGGATCACTGGGCAACCTGGGTGGGAAACCAGAAATGTCTAGTATAGACACAGCAGTACAGCTTAAACTTGGCTTTTCCTGCTCTAGTTTGGATCTCTCCAGAGAGAGCAGCCCACTTGAGCCTTCAGCAGAAGTACATCACTGGTGTTGTTCACCAACACTACTTAGCAAAAATTCAGCTTCTGCCCTTGTCCGCAGGAAACTGATTTGATTGTTCTCCACCTGGTGACTGCTGCCTGAGGTCGTGGTCTTTCATAAAAGAGCTGATGCAATGCCAAGGCCATGGCACAGGGCAGTGATGAGCAGAGCCATGCCATGGGCCATGGACTTCAGCACGGGGTTTCTTTAGAAGTGCATGGTCTAATGCAAGGCTGTTCCACCTTCCTGATAAGTCCTTCCCACAGATTCATGACCTACCTGAGGCACTGTGATAGTGAAAAACTCTTGTGGAGTACTTTTTGTCAGAGTGGCTCAAAGTTTTTTATCAAGGTTGGGGAAAAAAGAGGCACAAAGCAGCAGTGGGGTTTATTAAAAGACACTATCGGTGAGCAGAGCCCGTATGAGAAGAATGGTTGTATCCCTCTCCTGGGATGAAATAACCAACCTGGGTTTGCTTCCACAGTTCCAGGATACAGAAAAAAAGCATCAAGGCTAAACTAAGGACATTTCACCAAAACATTTTCCTTCCTACTCTTCCCTCAGTATTGCTTTTCCATTTAGCAGTAAGTTTTGCAAGATTTCATCTGGTGTTGACATCTTGGAAATTTTAGTGAATCTCCTCCGTTACCCCCTCCAAAAATGTTGAAAAAGCCACACACACAAAAAAAGCTTGCTGCAAGGGCCTTGCAAGGTTTTTATGATGTTTATATTTTTAACAGCATTCCCTGTCTCCCTGTTTTTCTTTTATTTCACAACCGGAAGTTGAAATAAAGAAGAGAAGGTTTAAACAAGAGGGAATAAACTGAAAACTGGGGAAAGAGCTGACCATTGCCCCTTCCCCTCTGCCAAAAATAAAGGTTTGCAAAAATTCTCCTAGGATTGTTTTCTGCATCTCTTGCATTGTTTTCCTGAAGAAGTATGAAGCAATTTCAGCCTTAAAGCTTTTTCTAGGTATAGGAGAATTGTGCCACGGGCCTTGAATCCAAGAAGTACAGAGGTGGTTTTCTGTCTTTTCACTAATCCTCCTTTCTTCTTCCTGCTTCCCCTCTTAGAGAATCTGCCCTCCAAAGGCATTGAGCCCTCTATGCCAAGCAGATGAACACCAGTTGGTTCACCACTGCTGCCAGCAGTTTCAGAGGTTAATGGTTACCCTGGTTTTGACAGGTTTGACTTCTGGGCACAGTTAAGTGTTGCAGAGAAATGAGGTGGTGACCCATGACTACAGAAAGAGTTGAGACAAGAGCTGGCTCAGACTACAGAAGTTCAGAGTTAATGCCTACTTGAAATATAAGGTGATGGCAGCTGCAGGTCTTTCAGGACTGTCAGTCACAGGAGTTCAGGTGCCAAGGGATCAGATACCAGCTTGTGGGGTTGCCACTCTTGCTTAAAGTTCCTTTCTCCCCCATGCTCTCTTTTGGAAGCTGGTGACCCTCTGTTATATTTTCATGTACACCTCCTTGGACAGGAGAGGTAGCAAATGGCTTCCCTTTTTGACATGGAAAGCTAAGACTCTTGTGTAGTCATTTGGCTCCAGAAACTGTGACTTGAGGAGTCTGATATCATGGCACTTACCAGAAGCGAGATATATATTTACAAGAATTGACATCATCTTGCCTGCTTTCTTGCTTTCTACCATGTTTCTCCCCACTCCTTAAAACATCATCTGTAGCTCCATAGATTCAGTGGATCCCACAAACTCCTGAAAATCCCCTGCTCCATCCTTACCCTTAGAGCATGGCTAAATTTGGTATGAGTTACCTGGGCTCTTCAGTTAACAGCTGCTGTTGGGAGTTCCCAGAAAAGCAGCAGTGGCTAAACTCTCAGCTGCCTTGCCACAACTGCCTGGGAAAGGGCCAGTGCTGAAAGAAGCAGCTGGTGCTCACTTTGCCACCCCGCTGCTGCTGAGTAGGAAATACAGGGTTAGAGGGAGGTGATAAGGTAGCAGAAATCACTGGTGTCTCATTGCCAGGGTCAGAAGGGAAAGCAGATGTAACTGGGGTGACTGGCCATGCCTCTATGCTGTGACCAGGATGGCTAAATTCCTTGCCATTGGTGCAGTAATCTTATCAGCACTGAGAATTAGGTTGATAACATGCCGATGACTGGGATTGACTTATCTCTGCACTTTGCCCCTTCCCTTACAGTCTAACTCAGTGCTGGACCCCCTGCCCATCCTCCTTCCCTACTGTTACCCCAAACAGGCTTTGCTTCCAGTCCTCGGGCTGCCAGCAGCAGGAAGCCAGCCAGTATTGTCTAAACAGGGCCATACAATGGGCAGCATTGTTGACACTGGATTTTTGCCCTCATTAAAGATGACCTCACAGCCCACCCCTTGGTCACTTCAGCCATCCCCTGGGGACTGTGAGGCTGTCTTTTGAACTCGGGTAAATAAATTGGGAGAGGAGGGGGAGAAAGGGATGGGGAGCAGAGGAACACAGCGGTCTTTGTGTTGCCACCCTCTCTTCAGCACTGGTGCTCTCTGGTGTCTTTCTACCCACATCAGACATGGCAGGCCAGGTGCCAAGGAGCCAGCATGCTGAGCGCCGTCCCC